TCTATTAAATGCCTTTAGAAGTAGTTAATGCTAGGAATTTAAGAAGAGATTGAGCATTTTTTATTTATTTATTTATTTTGAGACAGAGCCTCACTCTTGCCCAGGCTGGAGTGCAGCGGCGCTATCTTGTTTCACTGCAACGTCTGCCTCCTGGGTTCAGGTGATTCTCAGCCTCTGTTGTAGATGGGATTACAGATGCTTATTTAGCACCATACCCAGCTAACTTTTGTATTTTTAGTAGGTATGGGTTTTTGCCATGTTGGTGAGCTGGGTCTGTAACTCTTGGTCTCAAGCGATCCGCCTGCCTTGGCCTCCCAAAATGCTGGGGTTACAGGCATGAGCCACCCTGCCTGGCCCAAGATTGAACACTTTTTTGATACCTACCTTGCCTGATAACTAGTAAGCATACATCAAACCCTATATCATTATCAACCTCATTGCCCTCATCCTCATAGTAATGAAGTGGTGTACATGTATATTTACACACATACACACCAGGCACTGTTTTAAACACTTTGCATATACAATTGTATTTAATTCTTACAACTGAGATTTGCACTATTCTTACAGAGGAGGAGACAGACTGAGAAATAGTAAGAAACTTGCTGAAAGTTATCCAACTAGTGTGTGGGTGTGGAAGTGTATGAATGTATCGGGTAGGTTTCAGTCAAACCTAGATCTTTGTGACCCAAAAGCTTCCTTTTTTTTTTTTCTTTTTTTAAAGAGACGGAGTCTCACTGTGTTGCTCAGGCTGCTCTCAAACTCCTGTGCTCAAGCAGTTGTGCCTCGGCCTCCCAAGGTGCTGGGATCACAGGTGTGAGCCACTGTGCCCATGTCTTGGGAAGAGTATTTTACATTCTTAGCTGAGAGCTTGAATCTCAGCATTGCCCTCCAGAATTTCTTTTTTTTTTTTTTTGAGACGGAGTCTTGAATAGTTGCCCTAGTTACCCGGGCTGGAGTGTAATGGTGCAATCTTGGCTCACTGCAACCTCTGCCTCCCAAGTAGCTGGGATTACAGGCACACACCACCACACCCAGCTAATGTTTTTTTATTTTTTGGTAGAGACAGAGTTTCACTATGTTGGCCAGACTGGTCTTGAACTTCTGACCTTGTGATCTGCCCACCTTGGCCTCCCAAAGTGGTGGGATTATAGGTGTAAGACACTGTGCCTGCCCCAGAAATTATTTTATTAGAACTATACATCTAGATTGTGGTCGATTATTATTATTATTTTTTTGGGGATGGAGTCTTGCTCTGTTGCCCAGGCTGGAGTGCAATGGTGCGATCTTCGTTTACTGCAACCTCTGCTTCCCAGTTTCAAGCGATTCTTCAACCTCACCCTCCCAAGTAGCTGGGATTACAGGCACACACCATCATGCCTGGCAAATTTTTGTCTTTTTGTAGAGACGGGGTTTTGCCATGTTGGGCAGGCTGGGTCATGAACTTCTGACCTCAGGTGATTCACCTTGGCCTCCCAAGATGCTGGGATTACAGGCCTGAGCCACCATTCCCGGCCTTGTTAATCAATTCTATCTTGAGCTCATATACTTTAAAAATTCAGAGATTCAAAGAGGCTTTAATAAATTTATGTGAATCTACTTAGCTAGAATAAAAAAAAAATTTTTTTTTGGAGACTGTGTCTCCCTCTGTCACCCAGGCTGGAGTGCAGTGGCACAATTATAGCTCACTGTAGCCTTGAATTCCTGGGCTCAAGGGATCCTCCTGCAACAGCCTCTTGAGTAGCTGGGACTACAAGCATATAACACCATGCCTGGCTCATTAAAAATTTTTTTTGTCTGTAGAGTCAGGGTCTTGCTGTGTTGCCTAGGCTGGTCTTAAACTTGTGGGCTCAAGCAGTCCTCTCAGCTCAGCCTCGCAAGTTGCTGGGAATACGGGCCTGAGCCACCATGCCTGGCCTTTTTCTCTAAATGTGGATTGTGTGACCATATCCTTTGATCATCTATTGGCTGTTTTTCTTTTCTTCTTTTTTTTTCAATTTAAATTGAGACAGGGTGTTGTTGCCATATTGCCCAGGCTGGTCTGAGACTTCTGGGCTCAAGTGATCCTCCCATCTCAGCCTCCTAAAGTGCTAGAATTACAGGTGTGAGCCACTGTGCTCAGCTGACTGATTTTCTTAAAACTTTATGCAGGCCCCAGATATATGGTTATTAGTGTCTTTATTATTGTTATTTTTTTGAGCTGGAGTATTACTCTGTCACCAAGGCTGGAGTGTGGTGCCATCATCTCGGCTCACTGCAACCTCTGTTGGGTTCAAGTGATTCTCCTGCCTCAAGCCTCTGACTAGCTGGGATTACAGGTGCCTACCACCATGCTTGGCTAATGTTTGTATTTTTATTTTTAATTTAATATATTTATTTAGAGATGGAGTCTTGCTCTTGTTGCCCAGTCTGGAGTGCAATGGCACAATCTCACCTCACTGCAGCCTCCGCCTCCTGGGTTCAAGTGATTCTCCTGCCTCAGCCTCCTGTTTAGTTGGGCTTATAGATGTATGCCACTGCGTCTGGCTAATTGTTGTGTTTTTAGAAGAGATGGGGTTTCGCCTTGTTGGCCAGGCTAGTCTTGAACTCCTAACCTCAGGTGATCTGCCTGCTTCAGCCTCCTAAAGTGTTGGGATTACAGGCTTGAGCCACTGCACCCAGCTTGTTTATTTATTTTTTGAGATGGAGTTTCACTCTTGTTGCCCAGGCCGGAATGCAATGGTGAGATCTCTGCTCACGGCAACTTCCGCCTCGTGGGTTCAAGTGATTCTCCTGTCTTGGACTCCTGAGTAGCTAGGATTACAGGCGCCAGCCACCATGCTCAGCTAATTTTCTTTTTTTCTTTTTTTTTGAGATGGTGTTTTGCTCTTGTTCCCTAGGCTGGAGTGCAATGGCACGATCTGGGCTCACTGCAACCTCTGTCTCCCGGGTTCAAGCAATTCTTCTGCCTCAGCCTCCCAAGTAGCTGGGATTACAAGCATGCACCATCATGCCCTGCTAATTTTGTATTTTTAGTAAAGACCAGATTTCTTCATGTTCTTTAGGCTGGTCTCGAATTCCTTACCTTAGGTGATCTCCCCGCCTTGGCCTCCCAAAGTGCTAGAATTACAGGCATGAGCCACTGCGCCTGTCTCTAAAATATATTTTTAAAAATAAAATGATCAAATAAAACAAAAAGTTAAAAAGGCATATGTGAATTTATCATCCTGTCATTGCTTCATACTTCCACACTGAGAAATTGCCTTGTTCTATAGATGTGATAATCAATTTTTCCCCAATATTTCTGAAATTTGCTCTTTATTAGAATTTATGTTAGTATAAAGTGTGATAGGCTGGGCACTGTGGCTGATGACTGTAATCCCAACACTTTGGGAGATTGAGGTGGGAAGATCACTTGAGGTCAGGAGTTTGAGACCAGCCTGGCCAATATGGCAAAATCCCGTCTCTACTAAAAATACAAAAATTAGCTGGGCATGGTGGCGGGTTCCTGTAGTTCCAGCTACTCTGGAGGCTGAGGTAGAAGAATTGCTTGAATCTGGGAGGCGGAGGTTGCAGTGAGCCGAGATCTTGCCACTGCACTCCAGCCTGGGTGACAGAGTGAGACTCCATCTCAAAAAGAAAAAAAAAGGAATTTCCCTAGTTACCATCTGCATGCTGATAATTCTCTAGTCTGCAACTGAAAGCTATTTTCTGGTAACTGGACTCATATATCATCTATCTTCATGACATGTCCATTTGGTTGTTCCTATAGGTACCTCAAACTCCGCATATCCAAAACTGTAGTTGCTAATAACCTTACCATCCGCAAACCAAAAAACTAGAACAAACTCTGATTGTTTTCTTTCTTATCTGTAGGGGAAGATTAAATGAGATAGTGCATATGTGTGGTGAGAAATCAGTATATAGTATATACTGCTAATAATAACTTGGTAGAAACCTGGCCTATTCCTTTTACTCTTTTTTTCTTTCATATTCGGAATAATTACGCAGCCCCATTGGATTTTTTCTCTTTAATATCTTACGAATCTGTTCCTTTTCCCTATCTTCACTGCTACCATCCTATTCCGTGTGTTATTTTCCTTTCTCACCTGGGACGTTGCATGAGCCTCCTAACAGGTCATCCCTGCTTTCAGTCTTCCAGTTATTTTTTTTCCACTATAGCTACAGTAATCTAACACCTTTGAGCTTTGTTTGTGACTTTTCATGGCCTTCTGAACTTCCTTTTTTTTTTTTTTTGTGAAACTTGAACTTCTTCACTTGGCTTTCAGGATTCTCATGTTTTGGATCCCTCTTGACATTTGGCTGTCAGTTTGCTACTTCTATTAAGTTCCTTGTATTTCCCCCAAAGTGGTTAGAGTTCCTTAAATCTATGCCTGAGTACAGAAGCTTGTATCTGTCTGGAATATGTTCCTAGTTTACTCCTTATCCTCACTTTTGTTTTCTTAACGCAGGCTTGTCTTTCAGGTCTCAGCCTAGGTGGTAGCTCTAGGAGAAAGCCCTCTGATACTTCAAGTCTGGGTTACATGGGCCTCCTTTTTGTGTCCTTAGCACTCCATGTTCTTTTATTACCTTGTATTGCTTGGTTATTTGTCATCTCACCACATAGTGGTAAATGGACTGTCTTAAAAAATGATGTGATTTGCATGGAGTGTGTTGAAAAGAGAATGAGATAGTAATTTTGGGGGTTATTTAATAGGAAGAGGAAAGGGATATTATATTTGGTAGATGAAAGTTTTCTAAGCTAGAGAAGGCATATCAGGCCCTTTTATAGCCTGAATGAAAAATATCCTTTGGTGTCTAAATTTAAATTTTATCAATTCATTTCTCTATTAGTTAGGACTTTTTGGAGTTCAAGTAACAGAAATACAGCTTGAAGTAGCATGTAGGGGAAAAAGTTATTGGTTCATATAACCATATAATAGACATTGTATGGATAGAGATGACCATGAAGAGCTAGGGTGGGAACTTGCCCATAGTTGGGAACTTTTCATACTTATACTCTGTGCATACTGGTTTCATTCCTTTTTTTTTTTTTTTTTAAATATCAATTATCAGTTTCTTCCACAGGTGGCTTCATTCCTTTTACTGCAAATATGTTTCTTCACATGGTGACATCTGGTTCCTGGCAGCACAGGGGTATCGACTAGAACCTTGACCCAATCTAGCATTTGAGAGGATGAGGTACTATGCCTAGTTCACTCTAGGTTGTGTGATATGCTCACTTACATGGCCAGGGATCTGTTAGCAAAAAGCAGACCAGACCTCAAGTAGTGGAGGGGAACATACCTACTTTAATTCTTTTTAATTTTATCTGTCTATGTAACTATTTTTGAGATGAAGTTTCTTGTTGCCCAGGTTGGAGTGCAGTATTGCGAGATCGGCTCACCTCTGCCTGCCAGGTTCAAGTGATTCTCCTGTCTCAGTCTCCCGAGTAGCTGGGATTACAGGGGTGCACCACCACACCCGGCTAATTTTTGGTCTTTTTAGTAGAGATGGGGTTTCACTATGTTGGTCGGGCTGGTCTTGAACTGCTGACCTCAGATGATCCTCCTGCCTTGGCCTCCCAAAGTGCTAGGATTACAGGCATGAGCCATTGTGCCTGGCCAATTTTATATTTATTTATTTAGAGATGTGGGATCTCACTATGTTGCCTAGGCTGGCCTTGAACTTCTGAGCTCAAGTGATCTGCAGTCTCCCAAGGTGCTGGGACCACATGTGAGCCACTGTGCCTGGTCTCATTCATTCTTAACCACCTTTCTGATTATGAACTTATTTTCGTAAGTACTTTATTTGTGGTAAAGAGATGCCCTGTATTATGGACCTGTGTATTCCAGGTACTAAAATAGTAAGTCCAGTATTTTAAAGAAGTTGGCCTTTTGGCTTGCGCTAGCTTATAAACAAGTATTATTGAGCTTTTGTTTGCTAAATAAAACACGTATCTGCGAGAAGCTTACAGACTAGTAGTCTCAACAAGTAAATACAAAGATGCTAAGATAGATGCCTAGGGTGCCTTGGGAGCTGTGGCTAGATCATGCGTTGAGATAGTAGGAAATTTTCCTGAAGGAAAGTAAATTGAACCAAGAAATTTGGGTTTGGTGTGATGGGGTAGGGGCACTTTTTTTTTGTTTGTTTTGAGGTGGATTCTTGGTCTTTCACCCAGGCTGGAGTGCAGTGGTGGAATCTCAGCTCACTGCAATCTCCGCTTCCCAGGTTCAGGCAATTCTCCTGCTGATAAATCTCAGGCAAATCTCCAAGTAGCTGGGATTACAGGCGTGTGCCACCATGCCTAGCTAATTTTTGTATCTTTAATAGAGACGGGGTATCACCATGTTGGTCAGGCTAGTCTTGAACTCCTTAACTTGTGATCTGCCCACCTCGGCCTCCCAAAATGCTGGGATTACAGGTGTGAGCTACCATACCCAGCTGGGGTAGAGGGACTTTAAGGCAGAGCATGTATAAGGCACAGAGCTGTGAAATGGCCCTCCTTATGTGGGAAACAAATAACTAGATGCAGGTGGAGTAGAGAGTACTGGATGGGAAGTATAAGAGGAGGCCAAAGGTAGATAAGGGACCATGTCATAGAATTCCTTGAATGCTTTACCATAGAGTTGGAACTTGATCTTAAAAGCTATGGAGAGTCATTGAAGGAAATCTAAGCTGGATCTCTCAGGTTTGAAGTGCCCATGGAATATTCAAGTGGATGTATTTGTCAAGCAGTTAACTATATTGGGGTTTGGGAGAAAATTATTGAGTAGAGTCACACTTAACAGGCATTGAAGCTATGGGTTTGGATGGACCTAGAAGAGGTGACTTGAACAAAAGATTAGAAACAGAACCTTAGCGAGCAATGACACTGAAAAAGTGAGCAGAACGCAGGAAATCCATGACAGAGACCAAGAAGGGCCAGCCAGAGAAAAACCAGTAAATGCTGCTTGGGGTGGGAGGGTGGATTGTACTGGGTCAAGGAGTCAACAAGAAAGAAGTTGAAACAACAAATACAAACTACTTTATTTTTTTTTAAAATTATTTCATAAAGATGGTGCTTTACCATGTTGGTCAGGCTGGTCTTGAACTCCCCGCCTCAGGTGATCCGCCCGCCTTGGCCTCCAAAGTGCTTGGATTACAGGTGTGAGCCACCACGTCCGGCCTACTTTCATTTTAAGAAACTGAAAGTGTATAGGAAATAATAGGAGTTTGGTTAGTGTGATCATTATCAGTTCTGTGTGCACAGAGAACATAAAATTTCTAGACAGTTTTTCCAATGCAGGAATTTCAATTTTGTAGCATTTTTAAGGACAGGTAGGAGAGGATGGAGGCTATTTTGGCGGTGGTTGGGAAGAAAGAAGTGATTGACTAGGGGAAATGGATATCATACATGCAGTCGCTGGGGAGTACAAGTACCTAGTAGAGTATTTTGCACATAGTTTCTGGACCTATAATGATCTAGTAAAGCATTTTTTTCAGGGGACCCAGAGTTAATAATTGATTATGTACTTATAATTAAATTTAGTTTATTTCTCAGGATTTCTATTTGTGATTTTCTTTTCTGTTTTTTTTTTTTTTTTGACATGGAGTCTCACTCTGTTGCCCAGGCTAGAGTGCAGTGGTTCACTGCAGCCTCTACCTTCCTGGTTTCCTGGTTCAAGCGATTCTCTTGCCTCAGTTACCCAAGTACCTGGGACTACAGGCATGTGCCACCACATCCAGCTAATTTTTATGTTTTTTAGTAGAGATGAGGTTTCACCATGTTGGCCAAGGCCGCTCTCGAACTTCGGACTTCAAGTGACCCACCTGCCTTGGCCTCCCAAAGTGTTGGGATTATAGGTGTGAGCCACCGTGCCTGGCTCTGTTCTCTTACTGATTCTCTCTCTCTTGAGTGAACATTCTTTTTCTCTGCTAAATTACCTTCTCTCAATTTTTTTCTTTGTAGTTAAGCTCCTCATAGTTTTTTTAATTGTGGAAAAAAGTACAATATATTTACTCTCTTAACCACTTTTTTTTTTTTTAGATGGGGTTTCACCATGATGGCCAGGCTGGTCTTGAACTCCTGACCTCAGGTGATCCACCCACCTCGACCTCCCAAAGTGCTAGGATTATAGGCGTGAGCCCGGCTATCTTAACCACTTTTTTTTTTTTGAGACGGATTTTCACTCGTTATCCAGGCTGGAGTGCAATGGCGCGATCTCGGCTCACTGCAACCTCTGCCTCCTGGGGTCAGGCAATTCTCCTGCCTCAGCCTCCTGAGCAGCTGGGATTACAGGCACGAGCCACCATGCCCAGCTAATTTTTTGTATTTTTAGTAGAGATGGGGTTTCACCATGTTGACCAGGATGGTCTCGATTTCTTGATCCACCCTCCTCGGCCTCCCAAAGTGCTGGGATTACAGGCGTAAGCCACCACGCCCGGCCCTATCTTAACCACTATTAAGAGTATATAACAGTAGTGTTAACTACGCTCATTGTTGTGCAGCTTTTTTTAGTCTTGCCAAACTGAAACTGTACTCAGCGAACCCCTTTTGTCCCTCTTCCTAGCCCTTGACAACCATAATTCTACTTTCTGTGTCTAGAGTTTGACTATTGTAGATACCCCATTTAAGTAGAAACATGCAGCTTTTTGTCATTATTATTGCTGTTTTTGGGGTGACTGGCTTATGCCACTTAGCATAATGTCCTTAAGTTTCATTCATGTTGCAGCATTTGACTTGATTTCCTTTTTTTTTTTTTAGACAGGGTCTTGCTCTGTCACCCAGGCTGGAGTGCAGTGGTATAATCATGACTCACTGCAGCCTTGACCTCCCTGGGCTCAAGCCATCCTCCCACCTCAGCCTTCCGAGTAGCTGGAACCACAGATGTGCACCACCACACCTGGATAATTATTGTATTTTTTGTAGAAATGAGGTTTTGCCATGTTGCCCAGGCTTGTCTTGAACTCCTGGGCTCAAGTGATCAGCCAGCCTTGGCCTTCCAAATGCTGAGATTACAGGCATGAGCCACTGTGCACTTTTTAAAGATTAAATAATATTCCATTGTATGTATGTACCACATTTTTTTTTATCCATTCACCTATTGATAGGCATTTAAGTTACTTCCATCTCTTGAACTATTGTGAATAATGCTGTAATGAACATGCATGTGCAAATATCTATTTGGGATCCTGTTTTTAATTATTTTGGATATGTACGCTGAAGTGGAATTGCTGGATCATATGATAATTATATTTTTAATTTTTTGAGGAAGTGCCATACCCTTTGCATAGTGGCTGTGCCATTTTATCTTCCTACCAGTAGTACACAAGAGTTCCAGTATGTCTATATCTTTGCTAACACTTAAAAAAATTTTTTTTAAATTAATTATTTATTTTTTGAGATGGAGTTTTGCTCTTGATGCCCAGTCTGGAGGGCAATGGCACGATCTTGGCTCACTGCAATCTCTGCCTCCTGGGTTCCAGCAGTTCCCCTGCCTCAGCCTCCTGAGTAGCTGTTGTTACAGGCATGTGCCACCACACCTGGCTAATTTTTTTTGTATTTTTAGTAGAGATGGGGTTTCTTTATGTTAGTCAGGTTGGTCTTAAATTTCTGAACTCAGGTGATCTGCCTGCCTTGGCCTCCCAAAGTGCTGGTCATGAGCCACTGCGCCTGGCTGGTATGTTTTTTTTTTTAAATGCCAGATTTCAGGCCGGGCGTGGTGGCTCATGCCTATAATCCCAGCACTTTGGGAGGCCAAGGCGGGTGGATCATGAGGTCAAGAGATCAAGACCATCCTGGTCAACGAGGTGAAACCCCGTCTCTACTAAAAATACAAAAATTAGCTGGGCATGGTGGCGCGTGCCTGTAATCCCAGCTACTCGGGAGGGTGAGGCAGGGGAATTGCTTGAACCCAGAAGGAGATTGCAGTGAGCCGAGATCATGCCATTGCACTCCAGCCTGGGTAACCAGCCTGGGTAATAAGAGTGAAACTCTGTCTCAAAACAAAAAAACAAACAGTTTTTTGGAAGAGTACTTCGTTTAGTAATTCTGTGTACTTCCTTCTGTTTCTGGTTAAGAGGCATATATAATGTCTGGTCCCACTATTTTGTTGCTGTATTTGATCACCAAGTGAATGTAGGGAGGATCTTATTTCATTATAAAGTTATGATTTTCTTTTTGCTTCCAGCAAGTAGTAATCTGTAGGGTGGTACTTTGACATCAGGTAAATTTTTTTTTTGAGATGGAGTTTTGCTGTTGTCACCCAGGCTGGAGTGCAATGGTGCAATCTTGGCCCACTGCAGCCTTCGCCTCCTGGGTTCAGACAATTCTCCTGCCTCAGCCTCTGGAGTAGCTGGGACTGCAGGTACACCCCACAATACTCAGGTAGTTTTTGTAGTTTTAGTAGAGACAGGGTTTTACCACGTTGGGCAGGATGGTCTTGATCCTCCTGATCCTCCTTGGCCTCCCAAAATGCTAGGATTACAGGCATCACCCACTGCACCTATTTCGCCTGGCTAATTTTTGTAATTTTAGTAGAGATGGAGTTTCACCATGTTGCCTCTGCTGGTCTCCCAACTCCTGAGCTTAGGCAATCCTTCCCCGCCCCTGCAGGCCTCTCAAAGTAATAGGACTACACTTGTGAGGCACCTCGCCCAGCCCCAAATACATTTCTTTTTTTTTTTTTGTGGGACTTTTTTTGAAATGGAGTCTCAGTCTGTCACCCAGGCTAGAGTGCAGTGGAGCCATCTTGGCACACTGCAACCTCCACCTCCCAAGTTCAAGTGATTCTCCTGCCTCAGGCTCCCTCCCAAGTAGCAGGGATTACAGGTGTGTACTGCCATGCCCAGCTAATTTTTATTTTTAGTAGAGATGGGAGTCTTACCATGTTGGCCAGGCTGGTCTCGGACTCTTGACTTTAAGTGATCCACTCACTTCGGCCTCCAAAGTGCTGGGGTTACAGATGTGAGCCACCACCCTTGGCCAGGCCAATTTGTTTATCAACTTTTTACCTAATGATTTTAGTATTAATTGATGATTCTTGATTAGCTATTTAATTACAGGTGAAAAAATGGTTTTGGGTTCTGTTGTTCCTTTTACATTTAGTAGCTAGCCATCATCTATAAAGATGAGATTTCTTTCATCAACTAAGGCTATTTTGTTACCTAGAATTAGTGTTCTACTTAAAGGCAGAAGAAATGCTTAGTTATTTTCTTTTATATAGACATTTTCAGAGTGCAGTAGTCACCTCCAATGGCAGTAAGTACAGTCTTTCTTGTCTTCTCTATTTGGAATAGCATATATGTTTTTTTTTTTTTTTTTTTTTTTTTTGAGACGGAGTTTCACTCTTGTTACCCAGGCTGGAGTGCAGTGGCGCGATCTTGGCTCACCGCAACCTCCACCTCCTGGGTTCAGGCAATTCTCCTGCCTCAGCGTCCTGAGTAGCTGGGATTACAGGCACGTGTCACTGTGCTCAGCTGAATTTTTGTATTTTTTTTAGTAGAGACGGGGTTTCACCATGTTGACCAGGATGGTCTCGATCTCTTGACCTTGTAATCCACCCGCCTCGGCCTCTCAAAGTGCTGGGATTACAGGCGTGAGCCACGGCGCCCGGCCCTGGAATAGCATATATGTTATAAATTTTATATATGTTTTTGACTTTGATTTCTTTTTTTTTTCTTTTTTCTTTTTTTCTCTTTTTTTAAAAAGAAAGAAAGAGAAAGAGAAGAGGAGAGAGAACAGGAGTCTTACTCTATTGCCCAGGCTGGAATGCAATCTAGAAATAGGTATTAAAAACCTCTTTTATGCTGATGATTGTGCTTAACAGTGGAGACAGGAAGGAATGAGGAAAGAAAATAACAAACAGCCAACCAATATTTCGCTTAAATCTGTGAAATGCTGTGCAAGTGCTGAAGAGTGATTTGCTTCCATTTATGTGGTCACTTTCAAAATAGGTATAATGTGATAGTAAAAAAAAAAATGTATGTTCTGTGGACCTGGGGTGAAAAATTCTATAAATATTCACTGAGTTTACTTGTTCCAGGGCTGAGTTCAAATCATAAATGTCTCTGTTAATTTTCTATCTTGTTGATCCGTCAAATATTAACAATGTGGTGTCAAAGTCTCCCGCTATTAGTGTGGGATTCCAAGTCTCTTTATAAGTCATTGAGAACTTGTCTTACTTATTTTTTTTTTTTTGGGCATCCTGAATTTTTATTTGCTCAATCCAGTCACCTACTTTATTTTTTTAATTTTTTAATTTTTTTTATTTTTTAGAGGGAAAAAGAGAAAAAGAAGGGGAAAAAAAGAAAAAGAGGGAAAAAGGAATATTACTTCATTCCTAAAATGGGTTTCAATAATGGCCGATCAATATTTTGAGTGTTTAAAGTGGTTAATGCATATTTTATGTGTTTAAAATGGAGACCTCTATTGTGTTTATTTGTTCTGGCTCTGAGTACAAGTCCTGGATATCGTTATCAATTTGTTGTCTCGTTGAATCTAAATCTCATTATGTGTCTTATGTATCTGGGTGTTAAGATCTCTTATTGTTACATTAATCCTTTTACCCTTGCATCCTTGTAGCTTTGAAATCTATTTTATTAAGTGTGAGAATTGCAACTCCTGCTTCTTATTTATTTATTTTTGCTCTCCATTTGGTTGGTACGTTTTTGTTTTTTTTTTTTCCAACCCTTTATTTTGAGTCTATGTATATCTTTGGATATACCGTTAGATTTTGTCTGTATCTTTTGATTGGGAGATTTGGTCGATTTAAATTTAGGGTTGCTGCCATTTGTTATTAACTGGCTATTTTGTCCTTTCATTGATAAAAATTCTTTATGTTAATGCTCTTTACTTTTTGGTGTATTTTTAGAAAGGGTCATACTGGTTGTTCCTTTCTGTGTATAATGCTTCTTTTAGAAGTTCTTGTAAAGCAGGCCTGGTGGTAATAAAATCTCTGAGTACTTGCTTGTTCCTAAAAGATTTTATTTTTCCTTCAAATGTAAAGCTTAAATTGGCAGGATATGAAATTCTGGGCTGAAAGTTCTGTTGATTAAGTATATTGAATATTGGCCCCCACTCTCTTCTAGCTTGTAGGGTTTCCGTTGAGAGATCTGCTGTAAGCCTAATAGGCTTACCTTTATGGGTGACTTGATCTTTCTCTCTGGCTGCCCTTAATATTTTCTCCTTCGTTTCGATCTTGGTGAATCTAATGATTATGTGCCTTGGGGTTGATCTTCTTGAGGAATATCTTTGTGGTGTTCTCTGTATTGCCTGGGGTTGAATAGTGTCCTGCTTTGCTAAATTAGGAAAATTTTCCTGGATAATGTCCTGGAGAGTATTTTCCAGCTTGACTTAATTCTCTCCGTCACATTCAGGTACACCAATCAAGCGTATATTAGGTCTTTTCACATAGTCCCATATTGCTTGGAGACTTTGCTCATTCCTTTTTATCCTTTTTTCTCTATTCTTGTCTTGTCGTTTTGTTTCATTAAGGTGGTCTTCTACCTCTGATACCCTTTCTTCTGCTTGATCCATTCGGCTGTTTAAGCTTGTACATATTTCACTAAGTTCTCGTGTTGTATTTTTCAACTCCATAAGTTCATTTGTATTTCTCTCTATATTGTCTATTCTTTTCAACATTTCATCGAACCTTTTTTCCAAGTTCTTAGTTTCTTTACATTGGGTTAGAACAAGTTCCTTTAACTCCCAGAAGTTTCTTATCATCCACCTTTTAAAGCCTACTTCAGATAATGGAACACAGTCCTTTTCCATCAGGGCTTGTTCCGTTACTGATGAGTCCTCTTCCATCAGGGCTTGTTCCATTGCTGATGAGTCCTTTTCCATCAGGGCTTGTTCCGTGGCTGATGGGTTCTGATTTTGAGTATACTCGGCCTTCTTAGGCTGTCTTTTTCCCTTCATTGTAGATGAACCGCCTTTCTAATTAGTTTTCTGAGTCGACGTCCGACTTATTGATTCCCAGTGCTGGGATTCAAGCAACCCACTGTGGCAGCCTAAATAGCAGCGATAAGACTGATGGTGCTCTTCTGCCCGGGAATCTCTGGTCTGGCTTCCCTCTTGAGTCCGCAACAAGCGGCTCTTACTTCCTGGAGCTCCAAACTCCGGTCAGTAGGGGAAGCAGTCCTGTTGGCTCTGCATGAAGAGCTGCTGCGCGGAGACGCCGGCAAAACCGCTGCGGCGGCCACAAGAGTTGTGCTGGCGACCCGTGGGGCTCCTCCACTGGGAATCGGCTAATCGGTGAGTGACGAAAATTCGACTAATGATGTGGCGTCGTCTCGTTCTCTGAGCTTTCACTGGGAGCTACAATCCTGAGCTGTTGGTGGTCGGCCATCTTGGATCGATCCCCGAGAACTTGTCTTATGTATCTGGGTGCCCCTATGTTGGGTACATATGTATTTATGATCATTGACTCCTGTTGTTGCATTGATCTTTTTATCATTATGTAATGTCTTTCTTTGTTTCTTTTAGTCTTGGTTACTATTGTAGTCTATTTTGTCAGAGAGGAAAGTTACAACTCCTGTTTTTTTTTTTTGTTTGTTTGTTTTGTTTTTGTTTTTCTTTCCTCTGCATTTGATTGGTGAGTCTTCCTCCAACCTTTTGTTTTGAGTCTTTGTGTGTCCTTGCTTATGAGATGGATCTGGATACAGAGTGCTGATGTGTCTTGTGTCTTTGATTGGGGCGTTTAATTCATTTAAATTCAGGATTAATATTGATATTTGTGAGTTTCATATTGTCATTTAATGCTGGCTGGCTATTTTGCCCATTAGTTGATATAAATACTTCATTATGGAGCTACTCTTTATTTTTTGGTAAGTTTTTGGGATGACTGATACTGGTTGTTCCTTTCTGTGTGTAGTGTTTCTTTCAGAAGCTCTTGTAACACAGGCCTGGTGGTGATGAAATCACTGAGTGCTTGCTTGTTTGTGAAAAATTTTATTTTTCCTTCATTTATAAAGCTTAGTTTGGCTGGATATGAGATTCTGGGTTGAAAATTCTTTTCTTTGAGGATTTTGAATATTAACCCTCGCTCTCTTCTAGCTTGTAGGGTTTCTGCTGAGAGATCTGCTGTGAGTCTGATAGGCTTCCCTTTATGGGTAACCTGACCTTTCTCTCTAGCTGCCCTTAGAATTTTCTCCTTTATTTCAACCCTGGTGAATCTAACAATTATGTGTCTTGGGTTGCTCTACTTGAGGAATATCTTTGTGGTGTTCTCTGTATTACCTGGAGATGAGTATTGTCCCACCTTACTAGGTTAGGAAAGTTTCCCTGAATAATATCCTGAAGAATATTTTCCAGCTTGGATTCTTTCTCTTCATGACATTCAGGTACACCTATCAAACTTAAATTAGGTCTTTTCACGTAGTCCCATATTTCTTGGAGACTTTGCTCATTGCTTTTTTACTTTTTCTTCTCTAGTCTTGTCTTCTCTTTTCATTTCATTAAGTTGGTCTTCAATCTCTGGATATCCTTTCTTCTGCTTGATCAATTCGAGTGTTAAAACCTGTGCATACTTCTCGGAGTTCTTGTATAGTATTCTTCAGTTCCATTAATTCACTTATATTCCTCTCTAAGTTGTCTGTTCTCGTTAAAATTTTGTCAAATCTTTTTTCAAAGTTCTTAGTTTCTTTACATTGGGCTAGAACATGTTCTTTTAACTCACAGAAGTTTCTTATTATCCACCTTCTGAAGCCTGATTCTGTTAATGGAATGCACTCGTTCTCCATCAGGCCTTGTTCCCCTGTTGATGAGGAACTGTGATCCTCTGTAGAGGGAGGGGCATTCTGATTTTGAGTATTCTCAGCCTTTTTACGCTGGTTTCTTCCCATCGTTGTAAATTTATCCACCTGCCCTCTTTGTAATTACCAACTTTGAAATTAGGTCTCTTAATGGACGTCCAACTTGTTAATTCCCAGGGCTGAAATCTGAGCAACCCACTGCGTCGGCTAAAACAGTGACATCAAGATTCTTGGTGCTTTTCTGTCTGGTCTCCCGTCTGGCTTCCCTCCTGAATCCCTTCTTCAGTCAGCTCCAAATGTCAGCCAAAAGGGGAACCAGTCCCGTTTACTTTGTACCAAGAACCGCTGCTCCAGGGCACCGGCAAAACTGCAGCGCTGGCTGCAAGAGTTGCGCTGGCGACCCGTGGGGCTCCTCCGCTGGGAATCTCCTGGTCCTTGCGCAACGAAAATTCGTCTGAAAGTGTGGCGTCCTCTTGTTCTCTGCGCTTTCACTGGGAGCTACAAGCCTGAGTTGCTAGTGGTCAGCCATCTTGGATCTCTCCTTCGACTTTGATTTCTTGGGTGATTATAGTTGATGTGAATTTGACTTTAATATATAACTTTTCTTTTACAGTAAGAAGACATGGTGGATATCAAGAAGAGCTGTAGAGTTTGCATATATCAACTGTGGCCTTAATAAGCATGTTGCCAGCATCGATGCTAGACAGACAGTAAGTGTTACTAAAGTTGTATTTTACACATAGTTTTTTGTTTGTTTTGAAATCGGGTCTCACTCTATCATCTAGGCTAGAGTGCAGTGGTGCAATGTTGGCTCACTTTAGCCTCAAACTCCTGGGTTCAAGTGATTCTCTCACCTCAGCCTCCCGAGTAGCTGGGATTAAGATGCATGCCACCACATCTGACTAATTTTTGTATTTTTTGGTAGTTTTTTTTTTTTTTGTGACAGAGTCTTGCCCTGTTGCCCAGGCTGGAGTGCAGTGGCACGATCTTGGCTCACTGCAACCTCTGTCTCCTGGGTTCATAGAATTCTTCTGCCTCAGCCTCCCAAGTAGCTGGAATTACAGATGTGTGCTACCATGCCTAGCTAATTTTTGTATTTTTAGTACAGATGGGGGTCTCAGGGTGTTGGCCAGGCTGGTCTCAAACTGCTGACTCCAAGTGATCTACCACCTTGGCCTCCCAAAGGGTTGGAATTACAGGCGTGAGCCACTGCATCTGGCCTAGAGATGGTGTTTCGTCATGTTGCCTAAGCTGGTCTCAAACTCCTTGGCTCAAGTGATCCACCTGCCTCAGCCTCCCAAAGTGCTGGGACAACAGGTGTGAACTACTGCACCTGGTCTACACGTAGGTTTCTAAGCTTTTACTTATATATTTGAGTGACTTAAAAAAAAAACATCTCATGAGAAGGAAAATATAATCACAGATTTTGTTACTAGAATTTTCAAAACAGCTTATGGTGGCATAAAACATGTTGACTGAGAAAGCATAAAGAACTGAATTGTGGTATCAGTTTTCCTATTTAACATGTTGGCCAGGCTAGTCTTGAACCCTTGACCTCATGACCTGCCTGCCTCGGCCTCCTAGAGGACTGGGATTATAGGCTCGAACCACCGTGCAAAGCCCTCTGCTTCCTAAAGGCCAATCTTGGCTGGGCACGGTGGCTCATGCCTGTAATCCCAGCACTTTGGGAGGCCAAGGCGGGCAGATCACTTGAGGCCAGGAGTTTGAGACCAGCCTAGCTAACATGGCAAAAACCCATCTCTACTAAAAATACAAAAATTAGCCGGACTTGGTGGAGTGTACCTGTAATCTTAGCTACTCAGGAGGCTGAGACATGAGGATTGCTTCAGCCTGAGAGGCAGAGACTGCAGTGATCTGAGATCTTATCACTGCACTCCAGCATGGGTGAGAAATTAAAATAAATAAATAAGGCCAGACACAGGGGCTCACATGTGTAATCCCAGCACTTTGGGAGGCTTAGGCGGGCAGATCACTAGGTCAGGAGTTTGAGACCAGCCTGACCAACATGGTGAAACCCATTCCTACAAAAAATACAAAAATTAGCTGGGCATGGGGGCGTACATCTGTAATCCCAGCTACTCAGGAGGCTGAGGCAGGAGAATTGCTTGAACCCAGGAGGTATAGGTTGCAGAAGCTGAGACAACACCACTGCAGTCCAGCCTAGGTGACAGAGTGACACTTCGTCTAAAAAAAAAAAGTAAATTAAAAACAAATAGACCACTCTTGCTTCTTCATATTTATTTGTGCACCTGTTTTATGTGTGGTACAATGCTTAGTACCATTTTGGAGTATATGTCATGATCCATGTTCTCAAAGAACATGGTTAGTTGTAGATACAAACAGTTGTACATACAGATGGAAATATAAGTCAGTAACACCAACTGACTCTAAATTAAGCAAGACTAGTACTGCAATAAATAGTTAGGATTATAGAAAGTGTTGATGGAATATACAGAAATACACTTGGGACTAAAGCTATATAGTGTTCAGCCACTGGCTTTAACCTTTAACAACATGTTTCAGGGGTCTATCTAGTTTTTTTTTTTTTTTGCATGGAGTCTCCCTGTGTTACCCAGGCTGGAGTGCAGTGTCACGATCTTGGCCTCCCAAAGTGCTGGGATTACAGACATGAGCCACTGCACCTGGCCAAAATACCTTTTTTTTTTTTTTTGGAGACAGTGTCTTGCTCTTTTGCCAGGCTGGAGTGCAGTAGCACAATGTCAGCTCCCTGCAACCTCCGTCTCCCAGGTTCAAGCGCCTCTCCTGCCTCAGCTATCTGAGTAGCTGGAAGTACAGGCACTGGCCACCATGCCTGGCTAATTTTTGTATTTTTAGTAGAGATAGGGTTTCACTATGTTGACCAGGCTGGTCTTGAACTTCTGACCTGAAGTGATCCTTCCACCTCAGCCCCAAAGTGCCAGGATTACAGGTGTGAGCCACCATGTTTGGCCAGAATACCTTTTTTGATTGTTACAGAGAACTGTTATTTTCTGGATATTGTTCCACCGAGGTAAGTTATTCAAACTTACTTGTCATGTATTACGTATAGCAGATTTATTTATAAAATGATATGGAGTATAGCACATTTTCTAAAATTGGAATGATACAGAGAAGATGAACAAGACCCCTCTGCAAGGATGACATGCAGATTCATGAAGTGTTCCATATTTTTAGCTTCAGTATAAAAACTGTACAGATATTCGTATAGCTAATAAGGTTCTTTTTAGAGAAAATGCTTTAAAAAATGCAGGTTGTACCTTTTTGAATTAGATTTTAAAGCTTCTGACGTTGAAAATTTATATATATATAAATAAATAATTTTTTTTTTTTTGAGACAGTCTTGTGTTGCCCAGGCTGCAATGCAGTGACAGGATTTCAGCCTCCTGGGTTCAAGAGATTCTCATGCCTCAGCCTCCCGAGAAGCTGGGACTACAGTCATGTGCCACCGTGGCCAGCTATTTTATTGTATCTTTAGTAGAGATGGGGTTTCACCATTTTGGCCAGGCGCAGGTCTTGAACTCCTGTTCTCAGGTGATGCACCTGCCACGGCCTCCCAAAGTGCTGGGATTATAGGCATGAGCCACCATGTCCAGTGCAATGTTTCTAAATATTTAATGTTTTTTTTTTTTTTAAGTTTCTTAACTTGTATATGGTAGCATAGCAAACTTGGAATTAATTATCTTTTTTTTTTTTTTTTTTTTTTTTTTTAACTTTTTGCTTTGAGTCAGGGTCTTGCTCTCTTGCCCAGGCTGGAGTATAGTGGCACGCTCATGGCTCACTGAGGTCTCGACTTCTTGGCTTAAGTGATCCTCTCACCTTATCCTCCTAAGTAGCTAGGACTACAGGTGTACACCATTACACCCAGCTAATTGTTTTGTATTTTTTTTGTAGAGACGGGTTTTATCATGTTGTTCTGGCTGGTCTTGGACTACTGGGCTCAAGTAATTCGCCCACCTTGACCTCCCAAAGTGCTGAGATTATAGGGATAAGCCACCTGTGCTTGGCCTAAGGATTAGTATCAATAGTAAAGTTTGGGATTTTTAGTATATTGCATTTTGTTTTTTTAAAAAATCTGTAATAAAATTGTGTATCTTGAAAAATGATGGTGCTTTTATTTTTATTATTGTTATTTTTTATTTGTTTGAGGCGAGTCTCATTCTGTCACACAGGCTGATGCGATCTCGGCTCACTGCAACCTCTGTGTCCCATGTTCAAGTGATTCTCCAACCTCAGCCTCCCGAGTAGTTGGGATTAAAAGTGTGTGCCACCATACCTGGCTAATTGTTTTTAGTAGAGATGGAGTTTTACCATGTTGGCCAGGCTGGTCTTTTTTTTTTTTTTTTTTTTTTGAGTTGGAGTCTCGCTCCGTAGCCCAGACTGGAGTGCAGTGGCACCATCTCGGCTCACCGCAACCTCTGCCTCCTGGGTTCAAGCAATTCTCCTGCCTCAGCCTCCTGAGTAGCTGGGACTACAGGTGCGCACCACCATGCCCAGCTAATTTTTGTATTTTTAGTAGAGACGGGGTTTCACCTTGTTGACCAGGATGGTCTTGATCTCTTGACCTCGTGATCCACCTGCCTTGGCCTCCCAAAGTGCTGGGATTATAGGCGTGAGCCACCGCGCCCGGCCTCCTAATTTTTGTATTTTTTAGTATAGACGGGGTTTCACCATGTTGGCCAGTCCAGTCTTGAACTCCTGACCTCGTGATCTGCCCGCCTTGGCCTCCCAAAGTGCTGGGATTACAGGCATGAGCCACTGTGCTCGGCCTCAGATGGTCTTGTACTCCTGACCTCAAGTGATCCTCCTGCCTCAGCCTCCCAAGGTGCTGAGATTTTAGGTATAAGCCACTGCGCTTGGCCTGATGTGGTGGTTTTTTTTCCTTCTTTATTATTTTTTTATTTGTCCTGCAATTCACATTAATGGTGTTTTTTTTTTTAGTATTGATGATGTGGTTTTCAGTGGGAAGTTTTTTTATTTTTTGTTTACTTATTTATTAGAGATAGGCTCTTGCTGTGTTGCCCAGGATGGTCTTGAATTCCTGAGCTCAAATGATCCTCCTGCCTTGGCCTCCTAAAATTGTGGGATTAGAGGTGTGAGCCACCGTGTCCACCCTGGAAATTTTTTTTTTTCTAAAGTGTTCATTTTATATCTACTTTAATGGCAGTATTTATTTATTTTTATTTAGGAAAACCACAGGCAAATAATGGCACTATTGACCATTGTTGTAACACTATTAGAGATTGTTTGTTCATTCTGTTGCTATTTGTAGATTTCATGTTCACCCTGAATTTTAAAAAACTGCTTGAAAAGAACATATGTTCTTATTAAAAGGAAAACAAAAAACTTCAAAGCAAGGTTGTATATATAACATTTATAAAACAAAAAAACTAAAATTAGCTGGGTGACACTAAAAAGTTAAACATGCTGGGATTACAGGTGTGAGCCACCGTGCCCAGCCTATATATGTTTTTATACACCAGAATTTTCTTTAATACACTAAACATTGTTTGGACACTAAAACTGCCTATATGTAAGGAGATCTGTTTAGATCTCCTTATATACAAATGGACACAGTGGAAAAAAGGGAATGAAAGGGATATATAGCTTGCAAGTTGGAGGAAGTATAGAGGGAAGTAAGTCCATGATGATTCACCTTTATTTTTTATTTTTATTTTTTGAGACAGTCTCG